GGGCCAGGGACAAGGTGTTTGGGATGGAGGCTGCCAGGGCCTACAGCGGGAAGAGAGGACTCCACCCAGCTCTCTCTCCTGGCAGCAGTACTTTGGCTGGGGGTGGTGGGAGAGATGCCTCTCCCCTGGCCGTGGCAGGTCCGTGCCAGGGCTAGGTTGGGGCCGGGGGAGGGGTGCCTCTCCCCTGGCTGCAGCAAGTCTGGGGCAGGTCTGTACCTGAGCACCTGTATGGGGCTTAATAGGCAGCTGTGCGGCCGTGCAGCTACGCAGCTTAGAGGGAACTTAGCTTCCGATTGTTTAGATTTTACTAGAGATGAAGGGAGGATAGAGAACTACTCAAGTGTGCCTTTCAGGGCTTTATAAAGTATGATAGAAAGCACGGCACAAGGAGTTCTGCTTGAATCACTTGGGATTGGGATGACGTTATTACAAATGCTATCACACTAAAGAAGCAGATGCCATCTTGAACTAAAAGAAAGGAGGAGAGAGAGCCTTTTATGGGTAAGCAATCCACTCCATATTGAAACTTCAGAAAACCTATTAAATAGCACAGCTTGCATAAGGAATCTTACTCCACTTTTCCATCTGCTTGAAGTGTTATAGGAGGACAATGGCTGTCTAAAGTAGTTTGTCACCCTAAAGCTGTTCATCTCTGGAGTGTTCCCCTTTTAGCTGCACTTGCTAATGTGACCAGCCATGGGTATTGCATTGCTATGTAGACATACCTTCTGTGCCTCCCTTCCCATTTGTAAAATAGGGGTAATAGTACATCCCTACTTCACAGGGGTAGTAGGAAGATAAATACATTAATAATTGTGAAATACTTCGATACTATGGTAATAGGGACTATACAAGTGCCTAAAATAGAAACATAAATTTCCAGTCCCTTGCTGTAATCTAGATTATACTCCCTTAAACACAATTTGCCTCTCTAAGCCTTTGTTACAGACTTCATTTAAATATGGCATTAACAAATCAACACATCTTTAGTACCTTGCAGCTGGGAAATCTGTCAGGTCCAGTTGGTTTCTGCTTTTTTTTTTTTATAGCCTTGACAGTGTCCTTTTAATCCCCTATGCTTATGCTTCAATCTGATGTATATAAATCCTTCTAAAAATTGCACAAAAAAGCTCTTGAAAATATCCTGAAAGGCAATAAAAATTTGACCATTAGAGTTCTGAACAGAGAGGATATTTGCCATCTGCTGAGCTTCAGATAAAAAGATTGACAAGGTGATTATTACCCAGATGGAAATTTTCTCTCTCGTACTTATCTCTTCTGTATCTTGGTGGAAAAAATACAAGAGATCCATTTTATTGGAGAAATAGATCTTATTTAATGTTCCTAGTATTTTCTGTTAGTGTCTAAAATTGGCAGCAATCATGAGGAAATAGCAAGGTCAGGAAGACTGGAAAGCAAGATGAAAAGAGAAATTCTTCAGTAATAGAGAGTTGTATGTATGAAACAGGTGAGGCTGCTCTGGCAAAGGGTCTGTTAAAGGCTCTGCTCTCTCAATAGTGCAATCTGGACACTATGCTTAGACTTTCCCATTTGGAAGAAGCATCCCAGAAAGTCTGGAGAAATATCTGAGGAACTTCGATTTTAAAAATATTTTAAAATACTCACAAGAAACAGACAAGCTTGAAAGTGGTTAAAACAAAGAGGAACAAATCATGTTCTGAGGCTTAACTAATTAGCACTTGATGATTGTTGGCTGTACAAAGTATTATTAGCAGTTGATGTGCAAAGTGTTACTGGCATCGTTATGATGTCTGAATAGAAGCCATGAGAAGTAAAACAATGGGAGGCAAATTGAGAATCGTGAGAAGAGCAATTCTTGCTTATCTCGTCTGTTTCTCTGCTAGTGATCAATCAATAAAACAAATCAAATGAGCCAGTTTCGTATGGGCAGTTTCTCTACTTGGTTTGTAAAATACACAGCTACAGGCAAGCATGATCCAAGGGGAAGGAAGGTAGTCTAGAGGTTAGAACAAAGGAATGGGAGCTAGGATTTTTAAGCGTCAGGGAGGATGGTATACATAGAGCTCTGCAAATCCGTGGGTGCGGATATCTGCGGACAATTGGTGCGGCTCACAGCTCGGATGCTGCAGGGCAGTCTGCAGTACATGCTCACCAGAGGGGAGCGGCTCTCACCCAGCCCTCAGACTCCAGCTAGGCTTGCTGAATCACACAGCAGTGGCAATAGCCTGCTAGGCATTCTGGGAGTTGTTGTAGTCCCCAGCTTGCTTGGCCCCGGCTGGAGGAGGTAAACTACAACTCCCAGAAGAGAGTGAGCCAAGCGCATTTTTGAAAGCGGTGTGGTTGTACATGGCGGGCACTGAGAGGAGAGTAGTTGTCGCTGCTTAGGGTTGCCAGCTTTCTAATCACACACAACCAAACACCCCTGCTCCTTCTCCAAGGCCCCACCCCCTCCCTCTGTTGCTCACTCTTCCCCACCCTCACTCACTTTCACCATGCTGGAGCAGGAGATTGGGGTGCAGGAGAGGGTTATGGGCTGTTGGCTGGGGGTGCAGGCTCTGCGGTGGGGCTGGGGATGAGGGGTTTGTGGTGCAGGAGGGGGTTCCATGCTAGGGCAGGGGGTTGGGATGCGGAAAGAGGTATGGGCTGTTGGCTGGGAGTGCAGGCTCTGCGGTGGGGCTGGGGATGAGGGGCTGTGGGTGCAGGAGGGGGCTCTGGACTGGGGCTGCAGGGCCCCCCCACAGCTCACACTGGTTGCAGTTCCCAGCCCTTGTGACCAATGGGAGCTGCGGAGCCGGTATTCGGGGCAGGGGATAGCGCGTGGAGCCTCCCACTCCCTGGCCGCCAAGCCCCTAGGGGCTGCAAGGACTTGGTGGCCACTTCCAGGGGCAACCTGGGGCCAGGTCAGGTAGGGAGCCTGCCTTAGCCTCAGCTCCTCGCTGCACCGCCAACCAGACTTTTAATGGCCTGGATGGCGGTGAAGGCTGGAGCTGTCAACAAACGGACGCCTGGCAATCCTAACAGTCCCGTGTACTTGCATCTTCTCTGCCCAACTTCATGACAGGAGTGAGGTTTAGGACAAACCCTTCTTGTTGGCATCTCCCATTGGCTAATGTAGGCAGTGCCTCACCTCACATGGTGACTTTTGTGAATCCCATTCTTAGGTGCTTGTTTCCCCCCAGTCATTGTGCAGGGAGCCAGGCACCCAACTCAGGATTTGTAGATCTCATTATTCCAGTGTTTTTCTAGGCCCCCCAAGTCCCTTTGTAGATCCAGACCTGCTGGTGGTAAGGGGATGCACCTGTACACCCGTCCAGCTCTCTCATCTATCCTTGTCTGGCATAACAAGTGATCTGATCACCTTAGTAGCCAGGTTTTTAGGGGCACTGTAAAGAACTCTGAAAAGGTTTTTGCAAAATAATGTATTTACAAAGTTATAAATACAGAACTGATTCCACGAAAAACAAACAAAGGAAATGTAAACTGCCAGCAAGTGGAATGTCATTCAATGGCTGTTTGACTTTGCTGGCTTGAGCTGCCTGGTAGAAAAGAAAGCATAAAGGGCTCTTGACAGACATTTGCTCCCTGTTTCATGGCTATTGGAAGAAAGGCCTTGGAGGAGAAGGCCTAGGAAATTCCTTAGTTTAGTATGGCTACCATGAACAAGTGAAATGCCTGGATGAGCTTTCAAAACTCCCATATTGGCTGTAATGTCGTGGGGACATAGATCATACAAAAAAGCCACTTACTTGAGAATCCACCTCTGGTGTTAAACTGAGCCCCATGCATGTTGGAGCAGGATTGTGGGGGGTGGGGGGGGTTCAGTCAATGCTGTGTAGTCATGCAGTATAGACATAGTTGATTTATTAATTTAGTAAATAAGAAATTTATTATTAGTGATCAATTATATTGCTAATGGTTATAGGTAGTTAGCTCATTATGGCATCTTAGTGCCTTCATTAAAGATGTTCAGTGCATGACCGAAGTGTGCATTGTAAAGTGTATCCTCAGCCTGATGCAGTGAGTAACATAAAGTGGGTTCACTGCTCAACATACTGTGTATTTGTGATGGATTTCAAGTTTCTCAGGAAGATGAAATACCCAGGGTAAATTCAAGAGTCACAAGCCCAGGAAAGGGACCTGTCTTATTCTTTATTATGAAGGCAGTGGGTTTCTCAATTAAACCAATGGGGCTTAGAGCACAGCCTTCATAAATACCGTGTTGATTCATTGGAGAGCTGGGGAGGGGAAGGTGTGGTTCAAATGATGCCTAAAGTCATAAATAGAATGACTCAGTACCATTCCCTGATTAGCTTTCAATTTTCCTAAGCAACAAAATTCACCCTGCCACATTTTTTAGAAAATCCTGACAGAGTTGGGAGTGGAGCTGCTGCTGCCACCTCTCCAGCCAGGCTCTCTTAGGCAGCCACTGCACTGCACAGAGCAGCGACCCTGAGCAGCCACCTTCAGCCATGTGAGAAGCAGCTCTGTCCCACTCCCTGCCTGCACCCTGCTGCCAGGGACAGTGGATGAATATGCCAGGGACGGGGGAGGCGTAGCAGGAGAAGGACAGAGGTGTCCCCGGCCCCCCCCCCCCAGGTTACTCTGGATGAGGTGGGGAGAGCGTGGCAGTCCCCGGACTGGGCTCAGGTGGGGGGGTCACTGGGGAAGATGCTGGGAGCAGGTTCCCTGGCCTCTGCTCAGCCAGGACTGGGCCCAGAGGCATGTGCTGCCCACTGCTGTGGCCCCAACCCCCACCAGGAGCTGGCAGGATTGGCTGCCCTGGACCAGGAAGATGGGGTGGAAGTTTCTCCTGAAGGAGACACATGGGGCGATCATGTGTCCTCCCCTTTACGGTGTGCCCCCCCCACATAGGAGAAGGCACGAGTTGTCTATGCTTATGTCTCTTCCTACCATGATCCTGCACCCACCAGATACCATCAAATATCGTGCTCTGTCAGCTCATGGGATAGTACCTGGCCGACTCTAGAATACCCAGTTGTCTGTGGGATGCTATGTGATTAAATCCTTTGTATGACATTGGTCAATGACACAGGCTGCCTGTTCTGCTTTGCTTCCTCCATGTCTTCTGCCTCCATGTCAAAGGTGCCTTTTAGAATTGCCAGCCTCTGAGAGAGACTCTTCAGGTCAGGATAGAGAAGTACATTATATATCAGAGAAGCAAGAATCGCCCCTGTCATGGGGCCCACCCAGAAAATCTGCAGAGATAGGGAGAGAAATAGCATATTATTATTATTATTATTTTTTATTATTAATGTTTAGTGATAGTGCCTAGAAGCCAGAGCTCCATTGTGCTAAGCAATGATTGTAGCCCCAAATAACTTACATTCTTTGAATGTGTATCAGTATGGAGCTCTGCTCTTTTTGAAAATTGTAAAAAATAGACAACCAAGACTGTCATCATAGGTAGAATGAAGGGGAGGTTGATCTCTCTCTCTCTCTCTCTCTCTCTCTCTCTCATATTTATAAATATAAATATATATATATATATATATATATAAAATAGGTTGGGCAAGGATAATCTGTGAAGGGTCTTAAATGTAAAGATGAGTAGTTTGTGTTTGATATGGTGGACAAGGGGAGCCAATGGAGGATGCAAAGGGAGGGGTGATGGTTCAAGTGACAAGCCAGGAACGTAATCTTTGTGGCGGCATTTCAAATGGCTATAAGTCAAAATAGAATTTGTTAAGACCAGAGAGGAACATCCAAAAGTTGAGATAAGAGATGATGAGGGCCTGTATGAGAGATTTAGCTGTTGTATATGCAAAGGTTATTCATAATCAAAGATGGGGACTGGGACTCTTTTGGCTAAAATGACTTTAAAATGTCATAACGTTAATATTTCATTGACTCCTTCACTACTAGGCCAATGTTCTAGGAACATCCTGATAGAATTAACTTGGCATACTTCTGAATGTCAGGTATGCCCAGCAACGTCGTACCTGCCAAGCTGCTGAAAGCACTAGGACATCCTAGTAGAACATCTCTCCTGTGTTGCTGAATGTCCCAGGTATGTCCACTTACTTAGGTTATATGCTTTTGGGGCAGGGACCTTCTTTTTATACGTTTGTACAGTGCCTTGCTCAATGGGACCCCGGTCTGTGGCTAGACCTCCTAGGCACTCAGGACTGGCTCCAGGCACCAGCGAAGGCAGCAGGTGCTTGGGGTGACCAATGGAAAGGGGCGGCACGTCCGGGTCTTTGGCAGCAATTCGGCGGCAGGTCCCTCAGCCCTTCTCGGTGGGAAGGAGCTGCCACCAAAGTGCTGCCGATCGTGGTCCTTTTTTTTTTTGGGCTTCGCCACTTGGGGCAGCCAAAAAGCTGGAGCCGGCCCTGTAGGCACTACTGCAATACAAATAATATGTATGTCCAGGTATAAAGCACCTGCCATGCAGCTGAAGGTTCCCTAATATTGCATTAATTTCAATGCACTAATGACCGCTTTACATCTCTTTGCAACAGATTGGTTGTGGGCCTTGTTTAAGTGAAAGCTTAGATCCATCAGATTGCAGCACCCTTTCCCCTGCCAGTCCCTACCACTATGCCCCATGCATGCCCCTGTACTGAAGATTTCCTCTCCAGCTGCATATTGCTACTAAGTTGTGCCATTAAGGGTTCAGATGGCTGATCTTTCTTCCTGTCTGGCATTCTCATTTCCTACACCTTGAAATGTGTCCATGCAGCAAATGGTTATATCCGCACAATTCCACCAGGTGGCAGTGCTTACAAACAGCCTTGTTACATCGGGGCAAAGCTACAGTTGCAAACAAAACTGACAGCAGGCTGCTTACAGTGACGCTATACTTCGTTAAGGCAGAGATATAGAAACTGAATGGAGGTAGAGAGGGAAGGAAAGTCGGTCCATATTGGGGTTGCTTGGGAGCATGTTCATTTTCTGTAGCTTTGAGCTAAAATTACTTAGCCCCATTTCAGTTCTGTGTTGATATCTGTGGATCACAACTTCCCCACTTCCATGCAATGGAGTAAACATTAAAAGACAAAATATACTTTGGACCCTGAATCTTACCCTGACAGTACATGAACATGAGTTTCTCTGTATTAATTGCATATTTTGATCTTTATCCTAAATATTTATGTGCTTGAGTTGTAAGAGTATGTGTTAGATGTCAAAGGGAAAGTGAAGAGGCCCCTTCTACTCAAGCAGTTTCAACAGGAACACAGCCTCAGGCCTGTGCTTACAATCCATTAAGAATGAATGATCCAACCACTCAGCGCTGCAGCCATCAAAAGAGAAGAATCCTCCTGGACCGGCCTCTCTGGATGCACAGTTCCAGTGGGGAAAAAACCTGTCAGAGGAACCTAAAAGTGTTTATACTTGGGCCCTGAAACAAAGAAAACTAATGAGCAATATGGTAAAGAATTTACTCTGAGATAAATAACAGGGCCTTTTGTACTTAAGAGAGACCAAGACACAGAATTATAGAAGGAAGGTAAGTGGGCTAGAACAGTGACTCTCAACCTTTCCAGCCTACTGTACCCCTTTCAGGTGACCGATTTGTCTTGCATACCCCCAAGTTACACCTCACTTAAAAACTACTTGATTACAAAATCAGACATAACAATACAAAGGTGTCACAGCAACACTGTTACTGAACAATTGCTGACTTTCTCTTTTTGCCATAGAATTACAAAATCAGTTGGAATATAAATATTGTACTTACATTTCAGTGTACAGTATATAGAGCCATATAAACAAGTCATTGTATGAAATTATAGTTTGTACTGACTTCGCTAGTGCTTTTTATGTAGCCTGTTGTAAAACTAGGCAAATATCAAGATGTGTTGATGTAACCACTGGAAGACCTCTGTGTACCCCCAGGGGTACGTGTACCCCTGGTTGAGAATCACTGGGCTAGAAGAATAGCAGGGCCTGCTGTCACTTGGGACCAAAGTGGGTCATAAAAGACTCTTTGCTTACTAAGAGCTTGTCTACATGGGTACACTGGCTGAAATAAGCTATTGCAGAATAGCTCCCCGTGTGGCCAGTCTATTCTGGAATAATTAGTGCACTCCTAGAGCAGCTAATTATTCTGAAATAAAATGACATTTATTCCCAAAAAGGGTCCACGTAGGGATGTATTCTGGAATAGCTACTCCAGGATAGATTATTCCACATTAGCTATGCTAGTCAATTTCCCTGCATAAAGAAGCCTTGTCAGAATGTGATCTGGTTCATTTCCTTTCCTGAAGAGGAAGCCTGTTTAACTTGTAGTAAAGCATCAGCCTAGAGAAAACTTAATATTGGGGTAGGCTGTTTAGTGTGTTAAAATAATCTTTCTGTAGTGCTTTCTAGAGTGCCTTGTATTAAATGAGGATATTGATATAATAGGCATCACAGAAACTCGGTGGAATGAGAATAATCAGTGGGACACAGTAATACCAGGGTACAAAATATATCAGAGGGACAGAACAGGCCATGCTGGTGCGGGAGTGGCATTATGTGAAAGCATAGAATCAAATGAAGTAAAAATCTTAAATGAACCAAACAGTACCATAGAATCTCTATGGATAGTAATTTCATACTTGAATAATAAGAATATAGCAGTAGGGATTTACTACCAACCACCTGACCAGGATGGTGATTAGTGACTGCAAAATACTCAGGCAGAATAGAGACGCTATAAAAATAAAAAACTTAATAATGGGGATTTCAACTATCCCCATATTGACTGGGTACATGTCACCTTAGGACGGGATGCAGAGATAAAGTTTCTTGACACCTTAAATGACTGCTTCTTAGAGCAGCTAGTCCTGGAACCCACAAGAGGAGAAGCAATTCTTGATTTAGTCCTAAGTAGAGTACAGGACCTGGTCCAAGAGGTGAATATAGCTGGACTGCTTGGTAAAAGTGATCATAATATAATTAAATTTAACATCCCTGTGGTGAGGAAAACCCCTCAGCACCCCAGTACGGTAGCATTTAATTTCAGAAAGGGGATCTACACAAAAATGAGGAAGTTAGTTAAAAAGAATTAAAAGGTACAGTGTCAAAAGTGAAAGCTGCATGGAAACTTTTTAAAGACACCATAGTAGAGGCTCAACTTAAATGTATACCCCAAATTAAAAAACATAGTAAGAGAACCAAAAAAGTGCCACTATGGCTAAACAACAAAGTAAAAGAAGCTGAGAGAGGCAAAAAGGCATCCTTTAAAAAGTGGAAGATAAATCCTATAGAGGAAAATAGAAAGGAGCATAAACTCTGGCAAATGAAGTGTAAAAATATAATTAGGAAGGCCAAAAATGAATTTGAAGAACAGCTAGCCAAAGACTCAAAAAGTAATAGCAAAAAACCTTTTAAATACATCAGAAGCAGGAAGGCTGAGGATGTGAGGGAGATTCCAAAACCTGAGCCATTCTTTTTGAGGTTACAAATCTAAGGAACTGTCCCAGAGTGAGGTGTCATTAGAGGTGGTTTTGGAACAAATTGATCAACTAAACAATAAGAAGTCACGAGGGCCAGATGGTATTCACCCAAGAGTTCTGAAAGAACTCAAATGTGAAATTGCTGAACTACTACCTGTGGTTTAACCTATCATTTAAATCAGCTTCTCTACCAAATGACTGGAGAATAGCTAATGTGACGCCAATTTGTAAAAAGGGCTCCAGAGGTGATCCTGGCAAATACAGGCCAGTAAGCCTGACTTCAGGGCCGGGCAAACTGGTTGAAACTATAGTAAAAATTGTCAGACACATAGGTGAACATAATTTGTTGGGGAAGAGTTAACATGTTTTTTTGTAAAGGGAAATCATGCCTCACCAATCCACTAGAATTCTTTAAAGGAGTCAACAAGCATGTGAACAAGGGGGATCCAGTGGGTATAGTGTACTTAAATTTTCAGAAAGCCTTTGACAAGCTACCTCACCAAAGGCTCTTAAGCAAAGTAAGCTGTCATGGGATAAGAGGGATGGTCCTCTCATAGATTGGTAACTGGCTAAAAGGAAACAAAGGTTAGGAATAAATGGTCAGTTCTCAGAATGGAGAGAGGTAAATAGTGGTGTGTCCCCCAGGCATCTGTACTAGGCCCAGTCCTATTCAACATATTCATAAATGATCTAGAAAAAGGGGTAAACAGTGAGGTGGCAAAATATGCAGATGATACAAAACTACTCAAGATAGTTAAGTCCAAAACAGACTGCAAAGAGCTACAAAGGGATCTCTCAAAACTGGGTGACTGGGCAACAAAATGGCAGATGAAATTCAATGCTGATAAATGCAAAGTAATGCACTTTGGAAAACATAATCCCAACTATACATATACAACGGTGGGATCTAAATTAGCTGCTACCACTCAATGTGCAATGGCAGTCAAAAAATCTAACAATGTTGGGAATCATTAAAAAAGGGATAGATAATAAGACAGAAAATATATTGCCTCTCTATAAATCCATGGTACGCTTCATCTTGAATACTGCATTCAGATGTGGTTGCCCCATCTCAAAACATATATTGGAATTGGAAAAGGTTCAGAAAAGGGCAACAAAAATGTTTAGGGGTATGAAGCAGCTTCTGAATGAGAAGAGATTAATAAGATTGGGACTTTTCCTCTTGGAAAAGAAACGACTCAGGGGAGATATGATAGAGGGATATAAAATCATGATGGGTGTGGCGAAAGTAAATAACACAAGAACTAGGCGTCACCAAATGAAATTAATAGGCATCAGGTTTAAAACAAACAAAGGGAAGTATTTTTTACTTACAATGCACAGTTAACCTGTGGAACTCTTTGCCAGAGGATGTTGTGAAGGCCAAGACTATAACAGGGTTCAAAAAAGAACTAGATAAATGTATGGAGGATAGGTCCATCAATGGCTACTAGCCAGGATGGGCAGGGATGGTGTCCCTAACCTCTGTTTGCCAGAAGCTGGGAATGGGCAACAGAGGATGGATCACTTGATTACCAGTTCTGTTCATTCCCGCTGGAGCACCTGGCATTGGCTGCGGTCAGATACAGGATACTGGGCTAGATGGAGCATAGGTCTGACCCAATATGGTTGTTCTTATGTTTGTTCCAACTGCTATATAAAAATACTTTAAGAGGCCTGTTGGTCAATGTCACTGATCATGGGTTCCTGAAGGGAGGCTCCAGCAGGTGATTAAACTGATCTAGCCCTACATGGCAATAAGCAGTTGGTATACAAGGGACCCCGAGCTAAGAGTAGAAGAATCACAAGCTTTCACCCTGAGAGAGGTGAGGACAAGAGGCCTAAGACCCAAAGATGGTGCATTAACAGACCAGATTGGGGGGAGGGGGGGGAGTGTAGCTAGCCCCTTAACAGTGAAACACTGACTGATTACATGAAGATGAAGACATGCCTGCAGAGTGGTACACCCAGCTAATTCAGACTCCTAGGGACCTTCCCTTTCAGGCCTTTGGAACATCTAAAGAGGAGACTGACTCCTATGTGTCCTTCCCAGACTTTACACTGAGCCCAGTGCCTGCTGGGGAAGGAGTTTGAGGATTTAGTAAATGCTGGATTGATCGCATTCAGTGCAGACATAATTGATAAAGCTCATCCCATGTTACTCACTGTTGGGTCTCAGTACCTTGATACAAGGAGCTCCTAGAAACGCGGGGTGCAATAAGGCCAAATTTCAACATCTCACCCAAGGTATTTTGGAGATGGTAGAGACCTCTAGAACAGAAAGGGAAAGGACATAATGATATTACCCAGTGGACAGTAAACTTGTTGACTATGACAGCAGGGCCAAAGGATCTTGCAGGATTCATGGAGCAGCCAGTGAAGTAGATCTAGTAAACAGAGATGGGAAAGAAAGTATTAGGAGAATTACACTCTCTAAAGATGAATGAAGTCCAAATGAACCTCATGTTTGATTTGTCATATCTCTCTGTAGTTCAGGCAATTAGACATTTACAAATCTCTCTTATAGTTATAGTTTAGTCATCATTGCTGTATGATGGGAGAAGCATGGAATTGGCCTAGTTGGGAGTTCCTCCCACAGCAAGCATCTTGTACTGGAAGAGACTGGGACTGGCATAACAATAAGCTTTCCCCACAGCCAGCACTCCTGCCCTGCTCCAAGCAGCGCTTTTGGCAGGCAGGGTGTTCAGAATTGGAGTGCATGTTTTTTATTTGTTTCTAATCAACCATTAGGTACAAACCCCTCCATGTTTTATGCAGTGCCTAACAAGCTTACCCCAATCAGGTGTCCCAGGGCAACGGATATGCCAATGAATGTGGCTGGGGAGTTGGCATTTCTGTGTCTGTCGGTGGAAGCAAAATAACAAAGAACCAGCTGAAAGGTGAGAATGAGCTCAACAGCAACTGCTTGTCCAGAAGTGATGTTGCTCCGCACCTGGGGAAAGGGATGGCAAAGGGACTTCTTAGGAGACCACAGCAGCATCGGCTTCTGCTCACCAGCCACACTAGGTAACGCTGCTGCCTCACACAATCCACCTCAAAAGCAGGCATCTGCAGTGACAAGAGCTTCTGGGAGACTTAAGTGTAACAGTGGGGGTAAGGGGATTTTTCATGGTTTGTATCCTTACTTTTGGAGCCATGCAGTAGCAACTAACTGAGTGTAGGAGTGATAAGCACAGAATGTACAGATCAGGCATTGATAGCAGATTGGTTACTACTGTTCCAAAGTTTTTGTAGGCTATTGGGAACAGATTTTCAGAATGGCTCAGCATCCAGCAGCTCTCATTGAGAACAATGGAGAATTCTACACATGCACACCAATTGAGGACCATGGGGGCTCTAGGGTGAAAATCTGTTCCTTATGGCTTAGGTATTATGTTGCTGGGAGCATGAAAAAGCAGAGAGGCATGTACTCATGCAACTAAAATCCACTTAGCTGGGAATGTGTGGAAATTATGTAAACAGCAGGAATGCTCAGCTGTAGGTCCTATCTGTGGAGTCCATTAAGTTGTTCTGATATCTTGGGTGACTCCCTTCCTCGTTCTGAGCCTCACTTCTCATCTGTAAAAAGTGCGATAGTCACAATAATCAATGCCCAGTACATGCAGAAACCTTTGCTAAGGGTAATCACTTCCCCTAGTCCCTCCTTTGGTTTGACTTAAATAGGCACAGATCCATGAGGTATCTAGTATAGTTTTGTTTGACCTGTATTTAAAAACCCGCCTGTACTGGGCATTCATTTCTAGTTGTCACTGGGCAGGTTTCACTGTAAAGATTTGCCCATTTGTGTTTCCATCTTGAGCAGATGGCAGTGATTTTTTTTATCACAAATCCCCCTCAATTCATACCTACCACAGTCCTGGCCTCCTAATTTAGAATTACAACATAATTCAGCATGGTTGGCAGTTTCTCCTCCTGCAGCGGGGTGCAGGTCAGGATTGAGGAGCATTGACACTATTTGTTACCACTACATATAGCTACATATTAACCCAAGCCTGAACTAGAAGGGGGCCACACAAGTCAAGAGTGAGGGGACTGGTCGAGGTGTGGTTGGGAAGCTTGCACATGTCGGGCTCACAGCAATGTTAATGGTCATTCACTTTCATCAGCATTATCAAAAAGAGGGGTGAGGAACTCACCGTGTTAATGCCTAAGCTTCCTTGGACCTCTGCAGGCGTCACTCCATACAACGTGGCTGCTCCAGCGATGCCTCCAGCCAGCTGGGCAACCATATAGCAAGCAGCTCTTGCCAAAGAGATACGAGAGCCAAGCAGGAAGGCCATAGTCACAGCTGGGTTGACATGAGCACCACTGACATGCCAGGCAATCTGGACCACAGTAGCTGCAGCCAAGTTGAAGGTAATAGAGATCTGTAAGATGGTGGGGAGGGCTGAGGGCCAGCGGAGGACTGAGCCCAGGCCGAAGAAGACGTAGATGGAGGTGGCTAGGAACTCAGCAAAGACAGCCCGATAAAAGGTCACAGACAGTACCTCCTTCCACATCCTCTCGTGAGCCCAACAGTGAGAGGGACAGAGGGCGTTTCTAATGCTGGAGCTCCTTTTTACTGGAGAATATTTGAGGAAACACTATGTAAATAAGTTTGTAAAACTGGGCAGGACCAGGAAATCCAGAACCTGGAAATTCTTCAGTGAAGGAGTGAGTCAGACCTGCCCAGTTCAGCACACATCAATGCTCCTTCCTCACCCCACCCCCTCCACCACCACTACCACTGACCCAGAGTCTTAACTCCCAGCACCAGACTTAACCCAGTTTCTGACTCTCAGAAATGAGTGTGTTCCATTTTTGGGTTGTTATCTTAGTGCAATGTAGGCAGGGCAGACGAACTCCTGTGGGACCCCAGAATTTCACACACAGACCAAGACCAGTGCACACCCTCCCCCAACCCCCACCACAGGGTTTGTGGGGATTGATGTGAGGGAGTGGACGAGCTGGGGTGGGAGGGACCATATGGATGGGGGAGCCTTGTGGAGATTGGGGAAGGCTTGAAATGGATTGCCTGGGGATGGGAGGCCCAAGTAGCTGGGAGATTTTTATAAGTGGGGGTTCGTGGTGGGGCAGGAGGGTGGATAAGTTTGATGGTTGGGGGAACCCTGAGGGAAATATGCTTGGGGGTGCCTGGGTGGGGCATTAAGAAGCGGGCTGACCAGGAAGGTATTAGGGTATGGGGGCAGTGAGGTGGGATGGTGTGGCATGGTGTGGAGGGGTTGGGGGAATTAAGGATGGACCCAGACATGTTGGAGTGGTGGAGCAGTGGGGGGGCATAAGAATAGGGGGGGAGGGAGATGGAGGGGTCTCAGGGTGTTCAGGATGGGGTGATTGGGCGAGTGGAGTTCCCTTGGGATGAGTGGGTATTCCTGGGCTGGGGGAGCAAGGAGGATTGGGGGGGTGCCTGGTTGGTTGGGAGGGACTGGGGAGCCCAAGGGAATTTGGGAGCTGGGGGGATTGTGGGGTGACCCAGACAATGGGGGGAAGCAGGATGAGGTAGCTGTAGGAGGTTGGGGGAGGGAAAGTTGCAAGCTGGAGATTGCAACTCCCACAATGCTTGGGGGCTGGTGGGGAGAAGCATGGTGGAGGTGCAGAACACAGAGATTGCAACTCCGGTGATGCCTTTGATGGAAGCTGGAGCTAGTGCTCAGTAGGGCCCTACCAATTTAACAGCCATGAAAAACATGTCACGGACCGTGAAATCAACCCTTCCCCATGAAATCTGATCTCCCCTGCTGCTGGGAGCCCAGGGCTCCTAGCTGCTAGTCTGGCCATGCTGGGGGGGAGGGGCGGGGGAGACACATGAGTCGTCCCTCATGTCTTACTAATCTATTCGAGTTCTTTGAAAGGGTCACCAAACGTGGACAAGGGGGATCCAATAGACATAGTGTACTTAGATTTCCAGAAAGCCTTTGATAAGGTCCCTCATCAAAAGCTCTTATGTAAATTAAGCTGTCATGGGATAAGAGGGAAGATCCTTTCATGGATTGAGAACTGGTTAAAAGACAGGGAACAAAGGGTAGGAATTAATGGCAAATTTTCAGAATGGAGAGGGATAACTAGTGGTGTTTCCCAAGGGTCAGTCCTAGGACCAGTCCTATTCAACTTGTTCATAAATGATCTGGAGAAAGGGGTAAACAGTGAGGTGGCAAAGTTTGCAGACGATATGAAACTGCTCAAGATAGCTAAGACCAAAGCAGACAGTGAAGAATTACAAAAAGGTCTCACAAAACTAAGTGATTGGGCAACAAAATGGCAAATGAAATGTTATGTGGATAAATGTAAAGTAATGCCCATTGGAAAAAATACCCCAACTATACATACAATATGATGGGGGCTAATTTAGCTACACCTAATCAGGAAAGAGAACTTGGAGTCATCATGGATAGTTCTCTGAAGACGTCCACGCAGTGTGCAGCGACAGTCAAAAAAGCAAACAGGATGTTAGAAATCATTAAAAAAAGGGATGGAGAATATCTCATTGCCCTTATATAAATCCATGGTATGCCCACATCTTGAATACTGTGTACACATGTGGTTTCCGCATCTCAAAAAAGATATGCTGGCATTAGAAAGGTTCAGAGCAGGGCAACTAAAATGATTAGGGGTTTGGAACGGGACCCACATGAGGAGAGATTAAAGAGGCTAGGACTTTTCAGCTTGGAAAAGAGGAGACTAAGGGGGGATATGATAGAGGTGTATATAAAATCATGAGTGGTGTGGAGAAAGTGAACAAGGAAAGGGTATTTACTTGTTCCCGTAATATAAGAACTAGGGGCCACCAAATGAAATTAATAGGCAGCATGTTTAAAACAAATAAAAGGAAGTTCTTCACACAGCACACAGTCAACCTGTGGAATTCCTTGCCTGAGGAGGTTGTGAAGACTAGGACTATAACAGGGTTTAAAAGAGAACTAGATAAATTCCTGGAGGTTAAGTCCATTAATGGCTATTAGCCAGGATAGGTAAGGAATGGTGTCCCTAGCCTTTGTTTGTTAGAGGGTGGAGATGGATGGCAGGAGAGAGATCACTTGATCATTACCTGTTAGGTTCACTCCCTCTGGGGCACCTGGCATTGGCCACTGTCAGCAGACAGGATACTGGGCTGGATGGACCTTTGGTCTGATCCAGTATGGCCGTTCTTATGTCCTTCCCCTGCATGGCTGCTCTTGGTGGGGAGATCAGACCCACCTCCAGAGGCAGCACAGAAATGAGGGTCATACCCCCTCACTTCTGCGCTGCAGCAGCCCAGGAGCTGGGCTCTGGTCTTCTGTCCCCCCTGCCCCGCAGCTCCTGCCAGAGCTCCAGATCCAGGTGCGGCTTCCTCCTGCATCTGGGGTAGCCTGGGCTCTGGGCTTCTGCACCCCTTCGCGGCTCCTGCCACGGCTCCGGCACCAAACCCAGGGCTTCCTCCTGGTAGCTGCAGCCAGAGCAGGGGCAGATGGAGCTTGGGGCTTCTGCCCCTCCAGCCATGGCTCAGGGCAGCCCGGACTTGGGGCTTCTTCCCCTGCGGCTCCTGCCAGGGCTCCGGGTGACCCAGTAGGGGCATCTTCTGGGGCCGGGGCACCCATTTTTCCTGGGGGGGGGCCCAAAATTGGCCAGGGGCCCCTGCCTTAATCTGTCCCTGGCCTGGACTATCAGCTAGGATCCCCTGTCTGGGACATTCCCAGCAGTATGGGGGAGATCCTACCCACCTCCACCTCCAGGAACCTCCTCTAACTGCAGGAAGCTGGGAGGGTGCTACCTTCAGCTCTAAAGGTAGCACAGAAGTGAGGGTGGCAATCTTGGGACCCCCCCCACAACAACTTTGCAACCCCCCTCATGTTCCCATTTTGGGTCAGGACCCCCACGGTTACAATACGGTGAAATTTCAGATATAAACATCAGAAATCGTGAAATTGACCAATTAAAAAACCCTCTGGCCATGAAATTGACAAGAATGGATGTGAATTTAGTAGGGCCCTAGTGATCAGGAAAGACCTGATGCGCTACTTCTGTTTGGTTTTAAGTAATAAAGTAATAAAGTTTGTAAGACATTTGTAACCAGACTAATCCATTACATCCTCAATCATGGCATTTCTATTTTCTGAGTCATATCACCTGCCCTCAAGAATCTGGATGGTTATTGCTCAGAATCACTGGTGTAATAAGGCCTCAAAGTGCACTGATGCAAGAATAGGTTAGGGATCCCATCGCAATTCCAGGCCATAGTCCTCAAAAGCCCCCAGGCACCCCAACATCCCAGCCTACCTGCCATCCCAACATCCTCCATTTCCCCCGCAACTCATTCACCCCCCCCAATAACACCCACTCCCCGAAACCCTCACTCCGCATTCTCCCCCCACTCCCAAAGCTCAGCCAAAACTCATCCCACCAGCTCCTCAGCCACCAGCCTCGGGATTTTCTTGTCCACTCAGCTCCTGCTCACCCCACACGCAGCACTTTACTCTCATCCTGGACTTGGACAGTTCCTCCTGCTTCTAGCTATCCAGAGGTTCTGCACATGCCCATGGCCAGCTCCCAAATTTGAGTGATGAATGGCATTGCCACCTAGTACATGGGCTTGTAGTGCCATTCAAGTTTGGCCTGGACACTTCTCCATCATAATTAAGGGCAGCTGGGCCAAATTTGAGTGGCACCGTGATTCCATGCCCCAACTTGCAACTCCACTCAGGCAAATTTAGCCCCACTTCCCCCTATCATGATAGAGGTGGTGGGGGCCAAATTTGAGTGAGTGGCATTGTGACACCAGGCACCAGGTGAAGTGCTGGAGTGCTGCTCCAGCTGGTTGGGTTCCCATAATCTTGTGGGTCTTGCCACGGCTGCAACAGTGTCATCATTGTAGCTACACTGCTGCTCAGAATGCTATCACCTTTTCTGCATATATAAAGCCAAATCAAAACCTGCCAGAACTTTGGGAAATCTCTATACGTAGAAGTGGTGGATGGTAGTGGTAGGGTGAAATTAAACCTTTGAAGCGTGAGAAATGCAAGCACAGCTGCACAGATTTCATCACAAGAGAACCAGGAAGCAAACCAAACCCTGAAACTAGTTTGGTCAGTTTTGCTTCCTGGTCCACCTGTGCTAAACCCAGTGTTGCTGTGTTTGGGTTTCCCCCCTTCAGCATTCCCTGTTTTCACTGCTACATCTAGTCAGGTGAGATATTTTTAAGGGGGGGAAAAAAGCTAATCCTTCGGCTAACATCCCAACAGTAACAAAGGCTGGATCCTTATGTTAAGAGATTCTCTTTAATTTTGACTTGAGCCCCTCACTCAGTAATATGGGAACTTACTCTGGGTGCCTTTGCTATGCAAGTCTGTAATCACTCACAGGCACAGAGGTTTAAACAAATGACCTTTATGGGGTGGGGGGAGAGTTGGAGAAAAGGGAAAGGCAGGTGGAACTGGGATAATTATTTACACATTTACACCTTCCCCTACCATTTCCCACAGTCCCAAACAATTTGACACTAAATGGCTGATACAATTAGTTCTGTCTTCCAGCCTCACACTTGCTGTTCATTGATCGACAACTTCCTTGTGACCAAATGGACCCATGTACACAAATCCCACATCCTAGTTTAATAACCATTGTATAAAATATGCATTCTGAGGTTTCTGTTGCAAAC